TTTAAATAATAGAATATAGAACATGCTATAAATATAAACTTGGGTTGTTAAAATAAAAATATAATCCATCACCACTAATCACGGGTTATTGATTTTGTTACTGGTTGGCCACACGCATATAAATATTTGGCAATATAGGCACCTTTTTTAACCTTTTAACTGACAAACGAGGGCAAATGTACCACGCGGTGCCTTGAGGCTGCCACTAGTGCCTTAAGATGGTTTCGGCTGACCAGTCAGAGTCATATGCACCGTGCTGATTGAAAGTTCACACGTGCAAAGATTAGCAATATCTGACTTTCGATTCTGATAATTCCGAAAATGATTCCCGGTTTAACACAATTACCATTTAACGACCCTAATACCGATGGGAGTATGTGCAAATTAAAGCATATACAGTTCTTTCTAGAAGTATGAATCATACATGAAGTAATAAAATAATAATAAAAATTCGCTTTGGTGCACATGCAGTACTGTACATAGCACAAGACAACGGCATCGGTCTCCCGTGTGGCCTTTCACAAACTTTTGGGGACAAGATGATGTTGGCGAGCACGTATGAAGGTCGCCACAGCACAAGAGAGGGGTGGGTGACCAACACCACGCCTGGCCACCTTTGTCTCTCCATTGCTGATGTTTACACACACTGCACCAGAAACGCATTTAAGGCTGAGTCGGCTTAGGGGGGGGAGGGAGGGAGGAGGCCCGGGACCGGTTCAAATATTCGCCACCACCACCGTTATCGGAAATCCAACTTGGGTGGCCAGGTTTGTAGTGCAGTGCGCTAATCACTGCACCACCGCTCCCTAGCATGCACACGCCCGCACATGCACAAGCCAGATTCCTGAGATCTCTGTTCAGATTGTGTGTTATACATTTACGGAGCGCCTGCTGACGTTCGAGATAAGCGAATGCATGCATATTACGCAGAGGCACTTTATTCAGTATAGTGGCACAGTTGTTAGGTTGTCTGGACAACACGTACGTACACACACATAATGCGTGTTTTTTTATTTTAACTTTTTTTAATTGTTACATAATACGTATGCATGTGTGCGTACGTATTGCACAAACGCATCGTTCGCTATTTGCACATTTGCTTAATGGGCACCGCCTCTGCAATTCCGCCCCGATTCGCGTTGACATTTCACGCCACAGCCAGTGCAACTTCCCAGTGCAACTTCACGGCAACTGCCCTTCGCTTCCTCCCAACAGGGAGACGACCACCTCTCTTCCTCGCATGCCCAATGCAGTCTGCGTCCCGTACATAAATGGAACATGAAGAGTCATCCCACTCAGCGGAAATGGAAGCAGTCATCCAAGCGTAAACGAATTATTTGTTTTTATTCTTTTTTAAGTAAAGATAAAACTAAATTAAATTATATATATTTTAACCAGGTAAGGCCCACTGAGCAATATAACTCTTTATTGAAAGCGACCTGGCCACAAATGAATAGCTCAACGAAGTGGGCCTTATCATTTGTTAATTTATAGCGGCCAAATAATTAATCGAGACGCATGCTTTCTCTCACAATCCGAGCGCCTGGATGTTCGTTAAGTGTCTGTGTGTAACAGTGGATAATGGGTGGGGAGGGAGCACAGTGGTTAGTGTGAACCCAGCTATCCGGAGTTCGAGGGCTAACGTCAGTGGAGGTTATTTGAAACTTTCGTGGACTCGGCCCTAAATTAGTATACCTTGTGCGGGTAATTTCTTCAAGTGGTCGATTTCCTCCAATGCTTCTGTCCCTGACGATCGCTGTCGCCACCAGCTATTGTTGCTTGATGGATCGTGGTTTTGAAGGTTTCATTTGTCCATCGCAACTTAACGTTCTGGCCGTTTGTGTGTGTGTGACTCACCATTTTTTTTCGTCGAATTTCGTGCGATATGAATAATTGACGACGGTGCCCGAACGACCGCACTGACGACGACGATGAAAGAAGGAAGGAAGTAAACCACGCAGTTTGAGTCAGTAGGAGCAGTGCCAGGGCTCACAGTGTGCTGAAGTACATGTCAACCAGACCCCCCACCACCGTCACAGCATGAGGGAGGCCTTCATCCAGCAGTGGAGTGGCAAAGGGTCATACATTTTACGGTTGCCACTGTCATCGTCACGAGTCGTCACAACACAACGTGGGGGGACTGGCTCCCCGGTGTGTTTTTGGGCTGCAGCGCGTGTTGTTCGGCATGATGTCCGACGTTTCGTTCCACGTGCCGGGACCTTCTCAGGATCACACCGAACAGCAGCGCGGTACAACCCGAAATCACAACACCACCCCGAGGGCCCCCGCCACTGGCAGTGCTTGTGCAAGAACATTATTTTGCCCTTGGGCTCGATTCCCGACCATGGCTCACACCGTTCCGCACCTCCGATAAGCACGGTTGGCTGCGTGCGGCGCGAAAGAAATTCAGCACACACACGTACATCATTGACGAGTGACATCTGACAACAACAACAACAAAAACAACCCCATGACTGACAATGCGAGATCCTTATCCAGCAGTGGATTGGCAAAGGGCCGTAAACTTCATGAACGCCGCCGACGTCGAAGTGGACGAGAGTGCAGTGATGTCCGTCAATTTGTGGTGCATGTGGGCATGTTCACACGTGGTGCCTGAACGTCCAACGTTTAACATGTGCAGATGCTTAACAGAATAGCGTTTGTTAGGCCATGGTGTATTGCGATTCATAACGATCGTGTTGCAACAATTTCCATTTGCCACGCTCTTTTGAAGAACCACACCCAGACTGAAAAATTCAGTGTGTGTCATCAGGAAGTTGTGGGATGAAATAATGAACAACGTACAATCGCATACTGTATATGGCGTATGACCAAACTGGCACCTGGTTAGAGCCACTTTTACAATGGGCCATGTTTAGTACACCTGCCTATGTAATACTATATTGTACATCAGTTATTATATTGGATTCACGATCCAAGCCACAACATTTCCTTCTCAAATTATGATTAAGGCAGCACTCATCTCCTGTTTGCAGCCCTGAGCCAGTGGTGGAAAGTCAACATTCTCATGGCGAGGGCAAGTCTTTCCATAGGACAACCACTGCTGATTTCCCCGCACAAAGTGGCACTTGTTTTAGAGTGACCCCAGAGAGATAATGGGCCAAGAGAAGCCCCCTCTCCAACCAGGATTTGAACTCACAATCTTGCGATTGCGAACCTCTTGCTCTACCTCTGAGCTTATTTCGAAGTTGCCATTTGACGTGATGACGCATAAATGGAACAAAAACCGAACAATGTACAAAGAACCGTGGAAATAAGCATGCTTGAAAATACATTGAGATATATAGAAAAGGGGGGGGGGGGGACTAACCATGGATCTGCAAAACGTATAAAGGTTATTGGCACGATTCTGACTGTTAAGAAAAGTAAGTGGGGCTTGGGTTGGACACGTCGCTCGATGGGACGGTGGCCAGCGCTCGAATTGTAACGTAGGGCTGGTCTACGTTAAACGAAACGTGCCAAATCATTACTCGCACAGCACACCGGTGTGTTGGAGAGTAAATCCACAACAATGTACTTGGATTGCAAATGTTGTGGGTTCACTCTGCAACACACCGGTGCGTGACAAACCTTACTAATTGGCTGTGGTGGCGGGGTTTAACGACACAATTATACTCACGCGATCTAAGCCAAAAACCATGTATGATTAATATTGGTCACGAAAACCTACGTGTTGCACTGGATTGTAACGTTGGAGGACTGTGAAAGATCACGGTAGCTTGGGGAGACCATTCTCCAGCAGTGGATTGATCGTTGCTGATGACAATGGGTTTTATTGATTGATTTAATATCTATTACTGAAAGAAAAAACACCATTCAACAGACCCCGCAAAAAATACTGGATCACCACGCAGTAAACAAAAATATGAAATGTAAAAAAAATACCTCTCGCAGCACAAATTCAAAATCCCAAGGTGGATCTTAACAATATATGAAAGTAATTATTTGAACAAATGTCCCATTTTAATTTAGACCACTGCGTCATGCACAATATTTGCTGTGAAAATATCACACTCGGTTAATAAATGTTGGAAAATGTATATTATTTATCACACCAAATCCACAATTCCATCTGCCATGACAGCACAAAGTACCAATCGTGTAAATGTGAATCTTGTACGTTATTACAATTGCAGGAATATAAAATCCTAGGTATGGTTTCCTAACATATTTTATTCAAACACGGAACTTTTGTCTAAAGTACCCAGTGAACATGGATTGTTTAACCAACGTTGGTCCAACGTTGTTTCAACGTTGGCATATTTACTGGTTACTTATAATTACCAGGTAAGTGTTAGACACAAGGCAGACACACTTCAGAATTAAAGTACACGAAATTGTATAAACATGCACTGAATATGGCATTTATCTAAAATGTTTGATTCAGTGTCTGTATGTGTCACTTGGCATCCTGGACACCCTTTCAAACGAGATGTTCCATCTCAAAGGGTATTCCGGCTAAAATATTGTTATCATTACCAAAGGCGTTTCTATTCCTTGTTTTGTAATATTTTATCGAATCTTATTCCTCACTCTAGATGCACTATTTTGCAATATGTTTCTCTAATCTTAATGTTCACTTTAGTTATATATTTTATTTATAATTAAGTAATATATTGTAAATTGTTTACATTTGTTGACTTTTTATTGCTGTATTCATTGTATTTATAATTTTTATGAGACCTGTTGCAAACGTTGTGTTTTTAATTTTAGAGTTGTTTGTTTTGTTGATCAAACCCGATTCAAGAGCGTCTTAGCTCACAGGGCAATTCTAAATAAACTGTTCAACTGTTCAACTGTATGTACAAAAAGTATAACTGGAAGGATTGAAGCACATCAAACAATATTTTGGGGTGTGTGCTTTGTGATTCTGTTTCTTAAGCATTCCACATGGTACTCGCATCTGCTGTGCAGATTGTGTGTGAGTGTGCGAGCGCCAGAGTTTTGCGGAAGTAAGCGGCTGTACGGTGTAGGCGACAGGAAACCCTGCTCACTTAGATAAAGTCAACCCCATCTTTATAAACGTACAAAACGGTAGCTAGCTTTGAGAGATCCGCACACCATTTTTTCCCCACCCCAGACATTACATTTATTTTCATTTACATTCTACGAAAATGTATCGTCTGCTCATCTTTGGACTGCTTGGTGAGTTCACCCTGGTTTACAGTTGCCCTGTCACATCATCGGATGGTTACCTTTGGATGATTAAAATGTGCCAACGATAAATGAGGCTTACGCTTTTAAGGCGTTGCCCGTCTTTTGGAACGCAGAAATGTTTGCTTTTGAGGGCTTCTGTAAACTTTTGAGATTTGGCTGGCAATCATTTTTGGCAAATAATTTATGTTAATGTCGCGTATTATGTGAGCCGTGACAACTACATTTTTCTTTAAGCGTCAACGAAGAAATATTTTTTGGATGCTGTGGAAAATAAATAAAAATCAGTGTCAACTAATGTTAAACTAACAGATCAATAATATTCAACGTGTATTCATAATTAAGCTGATTAAATGGCTCTTGTGATATGTATAGATTTAAAACTTTTCATTCCATGGTATTTTTGATGTGTGGCAGAAAGTTGTAAAACATTCACTTTAGCTAGATACAGAAAACCAAATACTGCGTTGTAACATCATGAGAGTAACAGTGATGGCGAACATATGTTGTTATTTTTTTAACTCAAAACGCCCCAAAAAATAAAGTGACAATTAGCGAAGATATCTGATTACAAACATTATCGACAATACTTGCAGTTCATGAAATACAGCTATTGGTTACCGGATTATTTTTTTAAAAGATGTTTTACTATGGTAGTAAACAGGATTAGTTTGATAAAAAATAGATATATTTTATCATCAAGGTGGCGAGGTGGCTTAGCGGTCAGAGCGCTGAGGCCTGGCATCGCTAAGATGCTTAGCATCAAAATGTGCCCAGTCGCCCTTTGCTGAGACCAGGTCCTCAAGTGCATTGAATTGATCGGTCTCAGCCCTGGTATAGACGACTAAGTGCATGCACACACACACACACACCAAAAAAAAACCCCGTCAAGATTAATTTGGTTTTGCAATTAATTGAATTGAAATCTAGTTGTGAGACTTAAAAAAAATATAAAACTTTTCACTGTTGTGCCATGAACGTGACTCACCAGCAGGTCAGGTATTAAAATTCTGCCCCCTCTAATGTGTGAAGCAGATGTCACCTGAAGAGGGATCTCAGATGAATTTCTGCAAAATTAAATTCCGTCGATTATAGTCGAACACGGGAGCAGTTGCACTGCTCTTTGAGAATTATAAATGGATTTATTTTTTTACCATCATGGCACCAAATTGCGGGGGTACGGGAAACAAACACATATATAAATAATATTAATCTGTACCTAATCGCGACTAACGGCCACATGTTTCCTTATCGCCAGTTTGTGGCCACGTTAAGTCTTCTATATACCACCCACGTTTTCTATTTGCACTGTGTCCTAAGTTTGACGATCAAAATATGTTTTTCAAAGGGTATTTTTTTCCCATTTCATCCAATTAATACAATTTGCAATTAAAAGCATGGCCATGTGTTACAATAATTGACGAGAGTAATTGCTTATACTATTTGTTATAGAGTGGCAGGATTGTCATTAACTTTTTAAAGTGTGAAATGTGTATACACTACAGTGCATATAAATAGGATGTTGATACAGTATAACAATAGTCAGAGTAGTTGTCTAATAAATGTTTCCTGCCAGCATTTATCATTTTCCTACGGTCTTATAACTATAAGAGACAGCAAGCTCCACTACAATAACAATCCACTTCACAATGTATTTGACATGTCTAATTCTGATTTTTTTTTGTAATTTATTGCAATAATTTTTTTGTAATTTATTGCAATTTATTTTTAAATAAAAAGTTTGACTTAAAATCAGGCCTGTGAAACGTTTTGCTGGCTGTGCTGTCATCACAGGTGCAGTGTGCGTTGCACAAACCAATTTTACATCTACAAATGTTACGTCTTCTGCGAACGCCACATCAAGCACAGACGTCGTGACAACATTCACAGGTAAATGATTGCAGGCTGTATAGCGTTCGAAAACGTCAACGACGCGTTCATTGCTCGGCTTTTCGTGGCGATCACCTTTGGATGCTTTGTTGCGTCGAGTGTAAATTAGGAAGAAACAGACAGAATGTACATTGATTGAGATACTAAGATTACACACAGATGCTCGTGTTGCCACCGACTAAGTCATCCTAAATGTATCCGATTTTGCCAGATAGTCCAAGCTTAGAACTTGAACTTGAGTTGTACATGCATGGGTGACCACGAGGCTCTAACAGGGGTTGTAGGCATGGGACTTCGAGATTGTCATGAGATAGCATTGCTGAACATCACTCACTCCAAGTACTCCGGCCTCCTTGAACAAAGAAGCCACTCATTAATGGAATCCCATTCTGTAGACAACCCAAATTGCAGAACCTTCCTGAAAAATAATTATTGAGACGGAGTGGGGATTTCCTGGGAAAATAATTGCCATTGTTATTGTATGACCATGCCGCCACCCCTGTCAATGATGATGGGGGTGGAGCAGTGTCAGAGTAGTTAGCACACAGCACTTTTAATGTTGTCACCTGAGCTTGATTCTTAATCACGATTAACGTTAACATCAGATGGCGAGATGTTAACAACCTCACCTGGTAGGCAGGAGGTATGGGTTCAATCCCGACCCTGACGATGTCTGTATATTTAGTCAGCATGTTCTCCCTGTGGTCGCGTGGATTTTTCTCCGGGTTCTCCGGATTTTCCTTCTACATTTAGAAACATGCGTTTAGAGTATTTGGCTGCTATAAATTTCCACGTGATATGCCACGTCGTTGAGCTATCATTTGTGGCCAGGTCGTTTCTGAAAAAGAGCTATATTGCTCAGTGGGCCCTACCTGGTAAAATAAAAATACTCTTTGGTTCTTTAGGTAAAGTCACGTAGGTATAAAAAATATATAAACAATTCAGTAATTGTTTCTTGCTGTGGTTGTCCCACCTGATGACGGACGCTTGTGTTGCGTCCGAAACGTCGTGATTTAATTTATTTTATTTTTTATACCTACGTGACTTTACCGAAAGAACCAAAGAGTATGGATCTCTGCAGTCACGAAAACTTCAAATCTAGATTAAAATAATTTTTTTTTTTAGTATTTTTAAGTTTTAACTGATGTGTCCCTGGCTACCCCTTCAACCAACCACACTGACCACTGTGGTGAAGTATGGTCAAACAACCCACACGACTGAAATGGCGTGGGGATGTCTATAACCTGCAATAGGTGGGTAAAGCACTGCAAATTATGAATAGTAAAGTTACAGTAATTATTATATTAAATATAATGAGACTGGTGGACAGATTAGTTGATGGAGCCACAGGGTGCCAAGTCACAGTCTATGAATTAAAACCCCATCCTGTATAAATAATCTACACAATGGGAATAATTACAATTATCATAATATTTTTTATAGGGTGTCTCAGAGTGTTTAACACGCGATAAAACATATTTAAAAACAGTTTATCATGTAGGTTTTCGCTGGCTGTTACCTGATGAGGCTGGTTGTAATAACTGTAGAAACGTCGTACTCGAATTGTAAATGTTGTGAGTTTACTCTCCAAAACACCATTGTGCTGAACTAGTAACGGCTTGTTTTGTTCACGTGACAAACCTTACTAACTTGTTGTGTCGGGCAGTGTCGGGTTTAACGACACATTTATATATTTACGCAGGTCTAACCCAAACAGACTCTGTTATGGATAACTCAAAACAAAGTACAGAATTTGTAAAAAAAAAAAATATCTTCAAACATGTAAAAGAACACAACCCCAATAATGCGCATAGCTATTCGACAATGTGGTTTCGAAACTCAAAAAAGGGAGCCAGACACGTGCAAGCTGTTGGCTCTAAGACGACGTCGTATTTGAAGTTCCCTATTCGTGAAGGGGAACACAGACGCCTCGGAACCTCGAGCTTCACCCCAAGCGCAGTTGCTCGGTGCTGATTAGACTCTTCCCGTGACTGTGTGAGAACACTTCGATTCAAAGCTTTCGCGACTGCAAAGGCTTCATCTTCGTTGGTTCTTTCGGGAAAGTCACGTAGAATGAGAATAAAATAATAATAAAATAAAATAACACAATAAAATTCTCACGACGTTTCGGCCACAACACAAGCAGCCTTCTTCAGGTGACAGAACAGAACTGTCGTCCCGAGAATTTTATTGCGTTATTTTATTTTATTATTTTATTATTTTATTCTCATTCTACGTGACTTTCCCGAAAGAACCAAAGAAGATGTGTGAGAACACTTATGCCAAGTGGCACCGCGAAGTCGACACGGCTCCTGGAGCAAGGAATAATATATAGATCTGCCCTCTGCCCGCCTTTCAAATCCCTACTACATTGAAATCTCTTCTGGCACTGGAATGTCGCTTTTTGAAAAAATAATGTTAATACCTCAGTGGGCTTTGCCTGGTAGCATGTGGATGGTTCCGTGTTGTAATTGTTTGTGTTTGGGTGATTTGTTTATCTTTCTGGTACTTTACACTCCTGTCGTGTTTTTGTTGTTGTTTGTTGTCGTAACGTTCTTACCCACCTCGACTGGACATCTGTGAAAAAGAGCTTCATAGCTCATCGGATTCCTCCAGTATAAATAAATATTCTGATTCCGAATTCCCAATACGTTCATAATCCCATTCAGAGTCTCATTTGGTTAAAACTGCAACATGGTAGAAATAATAATAATTAATATTTACTTTATATAGCGGCCTTTTATCGAGGATCTCAATGTTCAAGACAGCAGGAAACACTCAGAATAAAAAAAAAAACCTCATGAAATTAAAATATATAATAAATAAAGATTTCTGACTTTATTCACTCATTGTCGAAGAAACATAAGTGAGGAAATACATTTCAAGATGTGTTTTAAAGATGTCCACAGACTCAGAGATTCTAAGACCCTGGTGGAAGAAAGTTCCAGAGTCTAAGGGTTACTCAGGAAAAAAAGCTTGGTCGCCCATCGATCGAAGCCTTGACCTGGGATCACAGAGAAGAACTGATTCCCTCGATCTTAGTGACCTTGAGGGGACATATGAGTCGCAGCAGTGTGTCTCTGATGTCGCCTGGGGCAAGGTGGTTCTGAGCTATGTAAGTTGAAACTGAATCGTAGGTGAAACTGCAAGCCAGTGCAGAGAGACCAACACAAGGCAGAATGTGATCTGAAGAAGGAACTCTGGTTAACACCCTAGCAGCCACAACCTGAACACACTGCAGGCTATTAAGGAGAATCCTATCCACACCGAGAACCAAAGCCATTGCAGCAGTCAATGCGAGGTGAAATGAAGGCATGGACCATCTTCTCTTCATCTGAAGCAGAGAGAAGGCATTGGATACGGGAGATGGTCCTAAGATAGAAAAAAATGAGTTTTTGTGATATTTTCAATGAGCCTTTAAGGGCAGTGTGGGGTCGCAGATAACCCTTAGATTTCTGACTTTCTGCGCCAAAGAGATTACCTGGCCCTCGATCATAATGCTGAAGCGTGCAGCTTTTTGTAGTTGGTGGGGGTGATCAGATGAGCATCGCCTCTGCTTTGACACTGTTAAACTGGAGGAAGTTTTGTTGCATCCAACTGTTGAAGGAAGTCAGCGGCCGAAATGTGGGCGTCGTGCACATTACATTAACATTTTAGGCCAATATGTCGGAAAATATGACTCAGAGGAACTGTATAATTACAACAGGGAAGAGGGTCAAGAACGGCACCCCTGAGAGTCCCCAGATGAATAGCGCTGGGGGCAGATTCAAAATCTCACATGGATACGAACCGTTCCCAATTCGTCATATAAGATCTGAACCAATGGAGCACAGTTTCTGAGACTCCGATGATGCTTCCCAAGTAGTAAATCAAGATGTCATGGTCGATGGTGTAAACAAAGACTGAACTCAGAACCAGCAAAGTGAGATTACTGGGTGAGCTAGTCAGCAGTGATCCAAAGGCCATTCACCATTTTAGCCAGAGCTGTCTCAGTGGTGTGTCATTAGAGTAGATATGGTGGTTCAACTGCAAAGCAACCAGACATTCGAGCACCTTGGATATGAAGAGTAGATTGAAGATTGGACGATAGTTATTTGGAACCTCAAGAGTCGAGGCCACAGTCTTTTTCAGGTGCGATTTGACAGCTGCCAGTTTGAAGGTCAAAGGGACAATGCCAGAGCTGGGAGATTGATTGCAAATGTTGGTGACATATGGGCAGAGTAAAAGAGTAAAATTGAATTTTCTTGAATGAATTTGGTACGGGGAATGAACTGAGAGATTAAATCTCACGACCGTTGAAGGGGCAACCACAAAAACACATTCTGAGAATGGTGTATTGGGGAAAAGGTGGGGGAAAAATCCAGCATGGAGGTTGGGGGTGGGGGGCTAGATGAGATGAGCTGGAGTTGGATGTTGTAAATTTTGTCTGAGAAGAATACTATACTGTAAATGTCTCACATTAAACTTTGGATTGGGAAAAGGATGGCTGAGATGGTGGCCTTAACGTCCGATTATTCGTAGAAAAAAGTGCTTTTTTTGTTTAACATTGTTCGCAATGGGATTTGAGAGGAATCCAGATATAGCCTGATGTAATGCGTCTCTGTAAATTGACTTATGTCTAAAAATCTGTAAATGGACTCAAAGCTTTCGTGACTGCAGGAATTCATATTCTTTGGGTCTTTCGGTAAAGTCACATAGATAGGTTCAAATAAAATAACAAAACAACTATGACGTTTCGATCGCAACACAAGCGTTTGTCGAGGTTTGCTGCTCTGCGATCCCGCATTAACATGCTAATCTCTCACATTTAACATAGCCACCTCAGGGCACTGGCAGTGGAGGCCGCTCAACGATTTTACATTGACATGCAAATTTTTACTTGGCAGCCCTTTGATTGGTGGAACACCCACCACCGTGGCGGTTGCTGCCCACCACTCACACTAACATTGGCTGCTGACATTTGGGCTATGCCCATTGCAAAACCTTTATAGACAGTTTACCTTTAGAAGCTAACCCCCTCTTCTTGATCGAAACGTCGGAGTTTTTTGTTATTTTCTTTGAACCTCTCTACGTGACTTTACCGAAAGATCCAGAGAATATCTGTAAATGGACTTCAAGACTGGATTTCCTCGACATCCGCTCGAATTTTTGCACACAGTTCCCTTTGATGAAGGTTGCTCGGCTGTGTACCTCAAGAGGCCTGAGTGCTGAGGAGACAGATAAATAAACATTTCTCACTGTGTCACAGCGTTGGCCGTCGTGCATAATCACATATTACAATAACAAAAAGAACACCATAATTTCATCCTATGGCCCTTCTTCAGCATACAAAGATCAGTGTGCGCTGTGAACAAGGGCCAGTTACAAAAAAATAAATCACCTAATATGTATTGTTTCCCCTTTTAGAGCAGTGTTATGGACCAGTGTGTTGAGCTTAATGTGCATTCGTGAGGGATGAATCATCATAAATGTTGCACTTACGTAGAGGTGTGAAACCCCGTCGGGCGGTAGAGCAAGAGGCAGGAGTGAGCGGCGCGCGATCGAAAGGTGGTTGAGTCGGCCCATCATCCCTCCTCGGTTGGTAAAATCAGTGCCACTTTGTGGGGAGGTCTACAGTTGTTGTCCTATGGATATACTTTGGCCCCACCATTGTAACATCCAATTTCCGCTCCGCTTGCTCAGGGTTGCAAACAGAAGGTGAGCACCGCATCAAACTGATTTCCTGCCACCTCGAGCAGGAAATCAGGTTGACTTTTATCCTTCGATGTTCCATTCACTTTGCAATGTATTCCAAAGTTTTACTTAAATAGCCTTCAAAATGACACAAAGTCACTTTGCTGAGTGAGACACCTCTATTATAATCATAATGAATAAATTAAATATATTTTTAAATGTTTTTCATTTAACAGTCTCAACTTCAAACGCAACCCAAGAAAGCGAAACTTCATCATGTAAGTACTCTCTATTGGAAATATAACAATCAATATGTATATTGATATATTGACACAATGCAATCGTACATAAAAGGACATATATACAGGGTACTTCAAAAAGATGTTAACACTTAGAAGGGACTATCGTTTTTTATGGTAAAGAAGAACGGATAATACGTTGTGACATGAAAATAAATATATGTTAATAGCTTCAAAAAGTCAAAGAGTCTCCACTTGTAAAAGGTTTCAGTTTGGTGTTTTGATGCCAGAAAAAAGGGGAAAACCTCTTCTCATACATACGTACATCGTAGGAATGACACGTAAACTGTTTGCTAAGTATTTTTTTACGTGTTATTGCTGAGTATATACATTTTGAAACTCATGAAATATGAAGGCGAGATAAACGTATATGGTGCTTGATACATATATACACACACACAGCCAAAGGTTAGGGGTAAATAAAATAAAAGTTAAATATATTAACTTTCATGTCTGATTGCACAGTCGGTAAGGTGCCAGAAGATTACAATACATCAGTGAGTGAGGTCAAAAGATGGAATTTGTCCACTCATTGGACATACATATATATTTTGCCTATTGAATATATCTGCGTGGAACTTTGAGTACTCTCCCTTGGTGCATGTGGGGTTTTCTAAAGGCGCTCCCATTTTCTCCCCACATGCCAAATACTTCTTTAATGGAAATAGCCAAACATCCTCAGACAGGAACATTCTGAAAAGAGTCATCAAACTCAAGTCAGCCTTTCTCATATAAATATACAATGGGCAATTGTATAATTGAAATAAAGGGTGAACGCATTTATGAATTAGCTAAATGTATTCAGCTGCCTTCCAGAATAGTTAAAGCAAATTGTAATTAATGGAAGAGTTCTAAAAATTAGAGCAAACATTTTTTTTTATTCACGTATAGCCAACAGTTAAGGCATAATAACGAAACAAGGTGTTCTGGCCTGGTGGCTCTGCAGGTAAATCAAACCCATTTGTGATCAGAACGTTGCAAGTTAAAATCATTGTTGGGGGTTTGACTCAGCCCATCATCCCTTTGGAGTCAATAAACTGGGTGTATACTTTCATTCGTTAATTCCTTCATTCAATTACATTTTTGTTAGTAAAAACTCGCCCCCGCTAAAGAGGGCGTCGCAGAAAGTAACGGTATATATTAAACGAAGGTAATCCTCCTACCTATAACATCAAGACACGTGTACAAACATCAAGATGAGAGGACATACTCAAGGAAAAGCTAAAATAAAACAATGCGGCTTGCAGAGTTCCTGAACTGTTTGGTGCCCACAGGCAATCTGAGGGCCGGCGTCAGAGAGTTCCAAATCTTAGACGCTACACTCAAAAAGGCCCCTACTACCGCCCAGCGTAAAATGAAATATTATAGATTGAGCTAGCAAGGCCTGGACTGAGGAACGCAAGCTAGATCTACCAGACGTCTGGGGGGGGGGGCGGGGGGGGGGCAGACGGGACTGCAGATACTGAGGACAAAGGCCTTCTTGAGTTTTGTAAGTCATTACCAAGTGGTATGTTGGAAGTCAACAGTGGTTGTTATTTGGATAAACTCACCCATGACATAGTAGTCTGGCATTTCCACCACGGTCTCAGGGCTGTAAGAAGATGGATAAGCACCGCCTCAATACTTTTTTGTTTCAGCAGGAAATCTCATCGACTTTGATGCACCATTTACGATTCAATGTGCACCAAAATTTGCACTAGAATAGACTGAAGGATTATATATATATAAAGTTACATTGCTTTTAGAAACACCGTGATAATAATAATGTTTATCAAAATAATTATATTATTTGTGTTTTTTTGTCTACTGCAGCCACTCCTCAAATGACAACTGCAGACTCACCACAGAGTAGGTACCGTTCTGCTTAATTAAAGACTCAAGGGGCGAAGTGGCCACGTGGCTTATGGGTCACATGGCCAAGACGGTCACCGCATCGCGCGCTTTCAGATGCGCTTCTGCAGCCGTCTGGAACGCTCTTCCTTCCGATATTAGGAAGCCACTGGAGCTATGCACTTTTAAATCATCAAGATTTAAAACTAACTTTTGAGAACTGCTTTTTGTGTTTAGTTTGTTGTACTTCCCCCCGCAACTCCGATTAACACGGTTGACTATGTATGGTGCGAAAGAAGTTCAACATAATACGTACATACAGTGAGTTTCAGGGTTAAAATTCAGGTTCAGGCCACCTATGACTAAACTTGGTTCTCAAGTGTAGTGAGTTGATGTTCTTGGCCCAGTCCCCAATGACTGCGCAAAAGCTATCATTCATCTTACCCTCATACTTAATTTCGTAAAAATGTCCAATGCTGAGAATAATACAAATGATAATAATACAATGTTATGGCTAAACGCACCATCACAGCCAACTGGAAATAGCATGCACTGCAGGAATGGGCCAATAAATGGGAGAGAAAAAATTGCCGCTCTATAGCATCGAAGTGCAAAACCAAGGGGCAGAGAGGAAGCCTACCACCAAATATGGAGCGCCTTCACTACCTATCCTCTATTGGGGTCATTGATTCTTAAAGAGCATTCATTAGGGCATTTAGGCACTCCCCCCCCCCCCTTCCTTATTCCCCTTCTCCTACAGGGGTATCAGAGCTTAGGAAGACACCAGGGGATTGTAGAGTTTATTGCAACGGTTCATTGAAACGTGTGGTTTTGACAGGTTTCCATTTCACTGTAATCTGTAATGTGTTTGTGCTGGTGTCAACCTGCTTTCATATCCTCTGTGTTGTGTACCTGAATTATTTTGTTGATAAAAAAATACTTTTGGAAGAAGATATGATAATGGAATTGGTTTAACAATAAAAAAAAATTGGTTTGAGTTCAAAACAGTGGTTGTGGTATAGATACACGTGCCCTTACCACAAGAACGTGGAATTTCCACCACGGGCACAGGGCTGTAAACATTAGAGGCACACTGCCTCAATGTTCGTTTGAGCGAAGAAATAACTTTGACTTTTGACTTTGATGCTCCATTTACTGTGCAACATATACCACTTTGCACTGAAATAACTCCAAAAGTGTAAAAATATTTTTATTTCTAGAAACAACACAACAAGAATGGTGTTAAAATAATTAATGTTTATGCCATTGTCCCCCCCCCACATCAGCCACAGCTAAAGCGACATCTGCAAAGAAAATAACGAGTATGTACCTTTTTGGTATACAGGGTGCTTCAAAACAATGTTAACATTTCGGAGAACTTGCAACAACACCCAAATAAATGTGCCTCCGGGCTCTAGAGACCACCTTGAGAAGATTCCAAGCGTGTGTTGACAATGATTGGCGAACAAGTAGAGACTTTTTGAAGCTATCAACATACGTTTCTTATCTTGTTACAGTGGATTATCCGTTCTTTTTCCATTAAAAAAACGATAGTGTCATGTAAGTGTTCACATTTTGTTGAAGCATCCTGCATTTACAAGTTACATCACTGGTAGCTCAGAGTTGAAAAACAACTGAGGTGGTATCAATGAGTTCCTGGGTTCAAATGCAGCTGCAAGCCACCTGTGACTATGCTGGGCTCTCAAGTGTCACTGGCATGATGTCCCTGGCTCAGTCACTAATGACCGTATAAAATGTACCCTTTTACTTGATTTAGTAAAAATGTACAACGCTGTGAATAATAGCAATAAAAAATAGTATTTTTTTTTTTTTACAATTGTACGTTTTATGGTTTGGGTGAACAGTGGTTGTGTCCTATGGATAGAATTTCCCTAACCATAGCAATGTGGAATGTTCACCAAGGGCTCAGGCATGTAAACACGATAGGCACACTGCCCCAATGCTTACTTAAGCAGGAAATAACTTTGACTTTGATGCTCCGTTTATAATGCAATGTGGACCATATTTGCACTAAAATAGACTCCAGGATGAAAAAAAAATCACTTCGCTTTGTGAAACACCATAATAATCATGTTCAAATATGATCCGGTCACGAGTTTGATACGTGATGAGCTGCACTGTCTACCTATTAAATACAGGATCACGTATAAATTCTGCCTACTCATCTTTAAGAGTCTCCATCAATCTGCTACATCCTATCTCGCCGATCAGTGCGTACCAGTTTCAACACACCCAAATGTGCTCCGACTAAGATCCGCAGCTCGCGGCCACCTGCTGGTGTACTCGCTTTGTGTAAACCTCGCGTGCGATACGGCCAGCGCAGTTTCGGGGTATCTGGCCGAAAGCCCTGGAGCACGCTACCAGCTCACGTTCGGGATCCATCCCTGGGTCTGAGACAGTTCCGCAACAGACTCAAAACGGTGTTGTTGTTTCAGAGAGCCTACTTCAACGAGGGATCAATGCGCATTCGTGATGGACTGGAGTGTGCAATATCAAATGTTCCACCATTGGAACCTCCTTTTGCCAGTAGCAAAAGATGATCATTGGTTTTTTATCCTTTTATCCGGCAACAAAACTGACACCTTTTTTTTACAAGGATTAATGTTTGCATTGACCACAATACCTGCGGTCGGAATGCAAACAAAAAACATAACTCTGATAATGTATGCACTGTCCTTGAAATTGATTGGTCCACACCCGAGACAGCTTTCCTTAGAGCCTAGTCTCACATGGTGTTGGACCAGTCTGACCTCTGAGTCTCCTGGTGACGTCTTTTGGCGTCATCTGGTCCAACACCACGTGAGACTAGGCTCTAAGGAAAGCTGTCTCGGGTGTGGACCAATCAATTTCAAGGACAGTGCATACATTATCAGAGTTATGCTTTTTGTTTGCATTCCGACCGCAGGTATTGTGGTCAATGCAAACATGACTCCTTGTATTAAAAGGTGTCAGTTTTATTGCCAGATAAAGGGTAAAAAAACAAGTATTATTATAATATCAAATGTTCTTACTTACTTAAAGTCATTCATACTTACGTCTTTCTTGTTTCCACATCAGCCACAGCCAAGTCGACAACTCTAAAGACAACGCAGCGTAGGTACCTTTCTCTTCATTTGAAAGCTCCAAGCGTAGAAGTAGCCAGGAGGCTCAGAGGTCAAACTACTGAGGTGGTGCTATTCGGTTTCTGGGTTCAAAACCGGGTCCACGCCACCTGCGACTAAACTGGATTCTCAAGTGGGACGAATTGATGTGCTTATGCCAGTCACGAATGACTTCATAAAAACCTATTATATTAGATTATGCTTGTTATTGAATTTGTAAAAAAATGTCCAAGTCTTAGGATAATAATAATAATGACATTGATTTGATGATATTACGTGTTTTTGATTGAGTCAACAGTGGTTGTCCTATGGATAGACTTCCCCTTGTCATAGGACTATGGACTTTCCACCACTGGCTTATGACTGTAAGCAGTACGTCAGCACTGCCTCAATGTTCATTTGAGCAAATAAATAATTTTGATCTTGATGCACCATTAATGATGCAACGTGCACGATAATAGGCTCAATAATATTTTTTGGAAAATAATTACTTTGCTTTGTGAAATACCATAATAATAATAATAAAATGTGTAATGTAATGACATTTTTCCTTCGATTTTTTTGTCCACTTCAGGCACAGCTGCACCTCAACAAAAAGAGAGTAGGTACCTTTCTGTTTATTTAAAAGCTACATCACAGAAGTGGCCATGTAGCTCAGAGGTGAAAGTACTGAGGTGGCATTCACGACCTTCCTGGGTTCAAATACAGATCCAGACCACCTGTGATTAAAACTGGGTTCTCACGTGTAGCGAGTTGATGTTCTTGGCCCAGTCACGAAATGACTGCAAAAAAACCGCTAATATGAAATTCGCCTTTTTACTTAATTTGGTAAACATGCCCAACTCTGAGAATAATAAGACGTCATACAATATCTTTGGCTAGTACGAAGTGTTTTCGTTGTCCTTTGGATAAACTTCCCTTGCTCTAGGAATGTGGAATTTCTGCCACTGACTCAAGTCTGTGGACGAGAGGTGGACATCTCCTCAATGATGAAATTAAACGGGAAATAAACTTTGTTTTTTTTACTTTGAATCTCCTTTCACGATGCAAAGCATACGGAATTGGCATTGAAACCGGCTACAAAATTATTGATTAATTTCCTACAATTCAACACTAGCGCAGCTATAATGTTTAAAGTTTGTGTTTTCTGTAACAGTCCCAGTCCTCTTAACATTGTGACTAAATTGGAAGAACGAAAACGTGTGTGAATATATTTATGGTTCGTGAGAAAATATCAATCATCAAAGGACACGTAACAGCAACAATATATAAAACACATGAAGCAATGCATCAGTAATAAATGAGAGACATCACATTTTCAAGGCTGTGAAAGACAGTAGAATACATTCATCTGTTCAGCAGTCTCCCCTGTTCGGTATTTTTTTGGTCCTGTATTGTTACATACATACGTAACTAAAATCAAATCTAAACATGTATTCCATATTTCCACAAAAAAGATCAATACTGTTCAGTAGTTCAGATAATCTGACGTGAGACCAATGTTATCCAGCAGTGTTTAAGCGATACTGCTCGTTTTTTCCGGAAAGTGTTGGTGAGCGTCCTCTCTCCTATATGGGCCATCAGTGAAAAAGTCAATAAAATATAATCATGTCATTGCTTACCAGTCACTTTTTTGGAACAATATGGGTAATAAATTGCCTTCGATTCCATATATCCTAAAATATATCGACATCTTTTAGTCTATCAACCCGTAAGCTTTCCGAATTTGTTTTATTTGTCCGTAAGAAAGAACAGAATGGATGTCATGTGATCAAGCACAGATTAACTTGGTTGCTTGAAACTTTTCTTTTTCAGGTAAATTATTGTACATAATTCTCATCGCCATTATTATAATTATTGTTTCCATCATCATCGCCGTGCTCTGCATGTGGATGAAGATACGTGTAAGTACATATCGTAAATATTTAATTTTTGTCTCTGTTATATGTATAAAAATGTCTAATTGAATTCGAAGCTTTCGTGACTGCAGGAATTACTCTTTGGTTCTTTCGGTTAAGTCACGTAGAAAATAAAATAATAATAGAATACGACGTTTCGGTTGCAACACAAGCAACCATCATCAGGTAAGAATGAATGATAAAACACAGACACGGGAACAGCATAGGCATACACACATTTGTCTTGGTGTGTGTCTCGCTCGGTGTGTCTTTGTGTGTGTGTCTCTCTGCATGTGTGTCTGCCTATGCTGTTCCCGTGTCTGTGTTTTATCATTCATTCTTACCTGATGATGGTTGCTTGTGTTGCAACCGAAACGTCCTATTCTATTATTATTTCATTTTATTTTCTATGTCACTTTACCGAAAGAACCAACGAGTAATGTCTATGGAATGCATAATCATAATGATGAGCCCTTCATTATCGCACTGCTGATGAAGGCCTCCCACTCCATATTGGTTATATAGGTTTGTTTGACCATACTTCCCCATGCTGGTCACTGAGACTACTGGTGAAAGGTAGCTGAGCGCCGGTTCAGATATCACTGGTGTTAGCCAGGACCAGGAATCAAACTCAGTTCACTAAGGTTACAGTGTCGAGTGCTAACCGCTGCACCACCATTCCACCGACTATTTGGAAACAGCACCATATTTAAATATATATTTTATTTCGTAATATTTTTTTCAAGATTTAACATACTCCACTATACTACAAATTAGGTTCTAAGTGAAACATTTGAAATCCAGTGTCTCATAGGATATTCTATATAGACAGATAAAGAGACAGCTGAGCAGACTGGTGGCACAGTGGTTAGGGCACTGCTGTACTAGTCTACCTACCTGAGCTGGATTCCCGGCCACGGCTAACATCAGTAGTGAGATATATCTGAACAGATCCTCGTGTCCCTGTTCAGCATCCTGCACTGACCAGACTGTTAAAGTATGGTCAAACAACCTCCCATGGATGACACAGCAGGTGATTGACAAGGAACTGTACTTTTATATATAGAAAAAATAAGTCCAAAATGCAGTTTATTTTTTGGGTTAGATCGCATAAATATAAATGTGTTGTTAAACCCGCCACCACCCGACACAGCCAATGTGTAAGGTTTGTCACGTAAACAGAACATCCCAATTCGTTACGAGTATAGCACACCGGTGTGTTGGAATGCAAATCCACAACATTTACAATCTGAGTACGACGTTTCGCCAGTAATTACAACTAGCATTATCAGGCAGCAGCCAAATCTGTATTTTGGATGATATTGGTCCCAAAAGTCTACGTGTTAACCTAATAAAGCAAATATTTGCCTTTTCAGTGCGGCACAAGCACAAATAAAACAAGTCAACACATTCATCATCAACACTATGGCCTTAAAATAAAAAAAATATATATATAATTGGACAATGTCCCATCTGAACTAATTTGCTATGAATAAGAGCCATTGCCCAAAACGTTGCCTGTGTTATTGACCAATGTGTTGAGATTTTTGTAATTGCATTGCTCCATCTTTATTATAGACAGTGTTGAATAACAAATATTTGCGCGGTTGGATTTTCTGTTTTCTGCTGTAGAAGAAGCAGAGTTTCACAGTGCAGATTGTTAATGGTCAGGATTCTCAAGAACTGGTGCCACTGGATTTAGCAGCCACCGCATCCGGTAAGCTACTTAGCATTAACACTCCATGCATGTGTTAGTACAAGCGTCTAATTTTTATTTTATTACATCCGTATGAAGCTGAAACCCATTGGTTCATCGTGATAATTTCACTGCTGAATTAAGGCCTCCCCCAAACTGTCACCATACCACACAAACATGTGATGTAATAATCCATATTGTAGCTGCACGATTAATTATTTCATGGCTTCATCTCCACCGAGGACGTTCGCGCATGCCTTCCTTGGCCGCCAATCAGTGATCCTTCACCAGGGGCGATCATCCTTTCTAGTGACGTGGATTGCCTGAAGTCCACTTACAACAGTTTGACCAATAGCGTGTGTTGTTATTATTACAATACATTTTCTGTCTAAAACGATGGGAATCAAGCTGTCTCCTCTGAGATAAATGTTACGTATTTTTCCCCCCGCTAGCTGCCAAACACCCCAAAGAGGACGGAGAGCCCGAGTCTGACAAAGAAGACTCAAACGATTCTGACGACAAGGCAGCTAACGCCACGAACCCAGACGAGGTGTCGGCCAAAGCTGCAGAGAAGACTGAGAAGACCCCAAGCACGGGTGAGGCCCGCGTTAAGTGCGCGCACAGCAGCGTCTAAAGCGATGACACAGCAACACGTGCAGCACCTCTCGAGCTGATGGTCTGTATTGGAGTGAGAGCTTGTGTGCGTCCAATGCACATCTTTGCGCGTTGTTGTTTAGATCTCATTGTTTCATAGCCTGCACTCCGATTTTTTGTTAGCGTTTTTTTTATCATGATGCGAAAATCTGAGTCACTCTGTAATTGTCGCTAGACTCGGGCCTTTCTGTGTAAAGGAGCATAGTAATTATAATTTCACTTGATCGCTTGGCCACAATCTCAAGTTAAGATATACATTTGTATGTTATTTTAATGTATATCTTAAACTGCAGCAGAGGGCATTGCGGCGACAACCCATTGGTGTACTGTGCTAGGCTGCCACGCTCCTCGCCTTCACTAACCAACCCTGCAGCGACCGGCATGGTGAACGTGGTCGAAGAACTGGCCACGAAATCGCGCGGCGGTGGGGAGGCCATCATCCAGCAGTGGATTGTAACGAAACGGGCTGCGCGTGCACACCGCTGACAATCAGTCGCGGCCGCCGCGAGTCGTTCGCGAGGTTTGCCGGCTTCGCATCCATGTCCAGAGCCTGATCGCACGCCAGTCTCCGTCCTATGCTCTTCTCGTGAGGTCAAAGGTCACAATATGCTCCAGTGGTACCTCAGCGCAGCGCGATCCTCTTTGTTGGAATTTTTTTTTTTCATCCTCTGGCTAGTGGCAATAGGCAACTGCTGCTCGTATAGTAAAGTGCCCTTGCATGTGCGGGAGTGTGTTTACGTGTCCTGTACATGAAGGTATCTCTATAAAAGCGATGGCAATTGATATCCTTCACTTCAGAAAACCATACATCTGTCGCTGTATCTGGTTAACGTTTTTTAATTCTTATTTTTATCCAGCAATATATTTTTCGAGTGGCATTAACACAATAATAATAAACCCAAAAAAATTGCAGCTGAACCACGGAAGTTTGAAGATTATGTCGATAAGGGGAATGTTTGCAGTGAAATTTTAGAAGTAATAAAAAAATCCATACAGAGAGTCGTTATGAGACCACGTTTGGGAATTACCCACAAAAACATAGTTTGACTAACTTCGCCTTATATGGTAAGGGACGAGACTCATTTAAGGAAGGAATAGCATCAACTCATTTTAGGAAGTATAGAGTCATTGTGTTGCATAATGAGGGCTGAAGCATTTGAATGTTACGTGGTTAAATTGTCCGTAGGTGGAATGGTATTTCCACTGGAATCAACTTGGTCCTAATGTGTGCAGTACTGTTTAGAACAGTACGCTAACATTTACTTTTAAAACTCAGAATTGGCACTCTGGTTTCCACATGTATGCCCCATGAGTCTGAGCGGACTGAGAGAAACATTATTTTCTTCAACCTCTGCCAAGTACAGGCATGTAACAGCTCTCAATGCGTGCTTTTTATAATGTTAAACACATTTGTTTTTCACGTGGTTAAATCTGGTTTGAAATTATTCCTTAAATGGCGTTTAAGGAAATTTGTTAATTTTAATACTTCATTGATATTAGTTATTTGGGTTATTAGAAGTGTACGATTTCCCTCTTAACAAACAGAGTCACTGCTGACTGCAGTGAATGGCAGCAACCTCGAGTGGCTGTAGAGGTGACATGAACACATCGCATACAGAACATCGTCATAAGCAGCCATTGGTCGATCCACTGCTGGATGAGGGCCTCTGAAAGTCACCACCACCGCCGTTTGCGATCTCCATGGTGGACTTTCTCCATTCCCACCCTTGGCTGCCACGCCACCATCCATCATCTGCACAGACTCACCTATCCATCTCCACCAATGTTGACCATTGTCAGGAATCGTTGGGCTCACGGTGCAGTGCCACCTCTCGACTCATTCAAAGGTACGCTAATTGGTGGCGCATCAAATTCATGATTATGCAACTTAAGGCAACCTTTAAAGATTAAAAAAACGTAATTGTTAAAAGGAGTGGTGGTACGTTGATTAGCACACTGCTATGAACGCAACCACCCAGGTTCGATTCTCAACTACGGCCAACATAGCGGAAAGTGACGTCTGAACTGATCTCCTGAACCAAACCGTGTGGTGAAGTGTGATCTAAACAAACCCCCACCACCAGCACAGCATTGGGGGAGGCCTTCATCCAGCAGTGGAGCGACAAAGGACTGCACATTTCACGGCTGCCACTATCATTATCATCATAACGCAATCATAATATATTCCTTTAAATGTATGATGCGCATTCCATCCAAGCATCCCAATGCATAAAAAGCAGGAAACAAAAACGAAACCGGGCCAACCGACCCAACTAAAGAGGGAAGGCCGCTTGAAAAAGATGGGGTTTACACAGCAGACTTTAATCTATCTACCGACTCTGATTGCCTGATTTCATGTGGCAAGGCGTGCCGCACATAGCTTGGGTGCTACGCTAACAAAAGCGGGCGTGTCGGAGATCAGAAGATCTTAAGGACTCTGATGGAATATGTACAACGTGAAGGGAGCGTGATCTCACGTGTGTTTTTACGGGTTGCTATCACGTGTCGCTCAGCGTGGTGTCCCGACGTTTCGTTCCGCGCGAGAGATTTGCGACACGGCGGCGAGGGAGTTTGTGACGCAGGATTGGCAGAGCTTTTTTTGCGAGAAAGTTTTTATTCATCTTCCTCCCCCCCCCCGCCAAACCTTGAGTCTTCCAGACGCTTTGGGCAATGATACCCCGGCACGTTCATTAAGGAAGTAGAGGAAGCATAATGAGAAAGACATCAAACAAATAGTGTTATACTAACCGTTACACCGGCTTACTGTGTTATGCGAGGCTGTGAGCAGACACAACTGTCAGCGCTAGGTTAATGGCCCTTGATATTGGTAGGTGATAAAAAAACCTCTCGTCTTGGGCAGATAAATTGGTCACGTGCGGCGATGTCCGTCGTTAGACACCAGAGGGCAGCAAAAACATTCTGCCTCGCCTCAACTTCACTGCCCTGACACATTGCAACTCCTTTACATTTAATTACATCGTAGAATAACGCTTTAAATGTGCATAATCGCGTGATCTTGGTCGTGTATGATTACGGAACTAAAATCTTGCGGAAAGCTCACTTTTTACAAAATAAATAATAATAATTGAGGTGGGGGGGGGGACATTGGCAAAGTCGTTATCGCCCTGTCCTGTGAACCTGGTGACCAGAGTTAAATTCCTGGCCCCGCTAGCGTCAGTGGCGAGTGACATCTGAATTGGTCCGAGGCACCTTTCACAGAAACTACACCGACGACTGCGATGAGGTTTGGTCCAGCATTGCCCCTGAGCCAAAAACACGTGGGAAGCCGTCATCCAGAAGTGCAATGACAAATAACTGTTATTCGTTCATCTGATGTAAGGGTTGGTGGATCATACAGACACTCGCCCTCAGGGCAAGGAGGCGCCTTTCGAACGAATACAATCTAAGGTCGCACTCGTTACGCACAAAGTGCTTGCCACGAATGAACCACACAACGTTGCTCATCTCGTCAAGGAGCATTAACCACCATCGTGCAACTCCGGTCATCCTCGCAGCAGCGGCTTGTGGCTGGCAAATCGAACAAAGACGGCGGTCACTGCATTCGCGCGGCGCTTTCAGATGCGCTGCGGCCGTCTGGAACGCTCTTCCTTTCGATGTTAGGAAGCCACTGGAGCTATGGCACTTTTTGTGTTTAGTTTGTTGTCCTTCCCCCTCACTTCTCATTAGCACAGTTGGCTACGTACGATGCCAAAATAAGTTCAACATACATACATGCGTCCATAGTACATCATGCACTGACCAACGTGGTGAAATATGAAGAGGCCTTTATCCAGCAGTAGATTGAAACGGGCTGTATGTTATCACTGTCAAAGGTATTTTACACCTGCCTGAACCAACCAAGATTGAGCAGAATTTCGATTTAAAGCTTTCGTGACTGCAAGGATTCATCTTCTTTTGTTCTTTCGGTAAAGTCACGTAGAATGAGAATAAAATAATAAATTGATAAAATAAAATAACACAATAAAATTCTCACGACGTTTCGGCCACAACACAAACGGCCTTCATCAGGTGAAGGGACGAGACTGTCTGGAAGACAGCGCTCGCTCCAGCGCTGTCCTCCAGACAGTTTTATTTTATTCCTTGCTCCAGGAGCCGTGTCGACTTCTCGGTGCCACTTGGCATAAGTGTTCTCACACATCTTCTTTGGATCTTTCGGTAAAGTCACGTAGAATGAGAATAAAATAATAAAATAATAAAATAAAACAACGCAATAAAATTCTCGGGACGACAGTTCTGTTCTTTCACCTGAAGAAGGCTGCTTGTGTTGTGGCCGAAACGTCGTGAGAATTTTATTGTGTTATTTTATTATTTTATTCTCATTCTACGTGGCTTTACCGAAAGAACCAAAGAAGAAAATTGAGCAGCTTTGATATTTCAGTGGGGGAAAACAGCTGAGACGTTTAGGACTTCTGCGTGCAGAGTGTACCATTAGCTTTTTCTTGGACGTACCAGCTACATCTCGTGCTCTTGCCTGAAAATAATCTCAAGTTCAGCACACACATATACCTGTGGCTAGAGTATATTCCGTGGAGTGGATTTGCTCAGTCGCAACTTTGTCAGGAAGGGAACCCAATTTTGTAGAAAGATTCCACGCAGAGCAATTGCTTGGCTCTCCGTGTGGTTTATACCCCGCTCAAGAAAATGCGTAAACCACGCTGGTGGCAGTGTGTCTGCGGCGATTCTTAGTTGCATGATCTCTCTACTTTGTGTACCAGATTTAGCATGCGGATCTTACCGTCAAAGGCCAGTTCATTAGCAGTGCTAATCTCTAACGCAATGGCCTCCTCACAACTTCGTAAAAAAAATATATAAATGCAAATTCAGATTGTGCATGCCTGTAGAGCAAGTGGTCAATTGACTGAGAGTTTGCTTTGCGAAATTCGAATTTAGTTTCGTTCGCTCCTTTTTCAAGAATGGGTTC